TGGACCCCTCACCTAGATCCATAGGGAACGGTGCAGATAGGCACCGTGTGTGCCAGCAACGCCTAAGCCAGGCAGGAATCTGTCGCTCACTGTAAATCCACCCAGCAGAGCCTCCCTCTTTTGAAATGGGATAGTCTGGCACTGGGAACACCATCCTTGGACTTCCAGGCGGGAGCAGGAGCAGGAGCCTGGGCTCTGCATCAGGCAGCTCCTCAGTGCTTCAGGTTATTAAATGCAGCATTTTGGCCCTGCTGCTTCCACGTTCCTAGATTAAAAAACCTCACAAAGAGCCCAGCACCAGGTGATTTAGGTTTATTTTGCTTACTTAATAACCCTGCAGCACGTCCTTCCCCGGGGCATTAGGGTGTATCAGACAAGTCATTGAGATTACAACCCTGCCTGATATTTATTCTTTAATATATTTTTATGGGAGCCTTCCCCATTTAGAGCAATCCAGCAGAAAGGCAGACCACGCCAAGCAGCTGTAATCACTGCCTAGCAATGCTCAGGGTGAGTGCCTGGGGATGCTGACCCTGGGAAGCTGGAGCAGAGGCTCTTCGGAGCCGTGTTGGAGTGGTCCCATTCCAACCTGGCCACCGTGTCCTGCTCCAGCCTGATCACTGGGGACCCAAGGGTGGGAATGGGACCCCTCAAGCTGCTTCTGCTCCTCAGCGGCCCTCGGGCTCCATGGAGCCTCAGTTCATGTTTGAGGATGAGGCTGGGTAGAGCATCAGTGTTGTAGCTGTGCAGCAGCATCTCTCCGGTGGGGGCTGCCTGATGAGAAGGGGTGTCCTGGTAGGATGCTGATGTTAAAACCACCCAATTCCAATGCTTGTAACCGTGTCACTGCACAGACAGGAGCTGTGCAGTACCAGCCCCCTCGGGTTCACCCACTGAGGCCCTGGATCTGTCCCAAAGACAAGTTCTCTGCAGAGAGAAATGCACCTTTTCCACTCTTTCTGGGCCTGTGTGTAGCTCAGATGTAGTTTATCCAGCTTCCATGCACAGGCTGACAGCAGATGAGCCAAATAGTGCCAGGAATGGTGGAAATCCATGAGAGTTAAAGGGAATTAAAGTCCTGGGCTCGGGCTATGGGTAATTTGGGGCTTGCAGCTGGGCAATGGCACGTATCTGGCTCGGCAGGACACGGTGCTGGACCGCGCATCCCTGGAGGATGCTGAGAGGAGCGGGAGGCCCTGGAGCACTGGGTCAGTCTCCTGCTATTAATCATTTGCACACATGGAAAGCAAAGTGTCCAGGCCATTAGGAGTTAGGCTGGAAGCATGGGATATCTGTGTTCCGGTGGGATGCTGGGAGCATCCCTGCCTCCGGTCCAGGGCTGCATCTCCAGCTGAGCCAGGGGAGTGAAACTGGCTCTGAGCAGGAGCTGAGAGCCCTGAGTCATTCCCAGGATCCAGGAACCGGGGCTATGGGGAAGCACCAGCAGGCTGAGGATAACATCTGGGATTGGGAAAGCTGGTCTGGTTCCAGTGGGAAGGGGAGGTTTCTCTGGATGGGGCTTTTCTTCCATCCACTCCTTCCGTGTCTTTCTCTGTCATTTTCTATTTGTACTAACTCCTTTCCGATGGAAAGAGCGCAACCATTCCGTGGCATCGGATTGGCATAACAGGATGTGACATTCATAATAAAACCAGGATTTGTGTGGAAGGGGCTGACAGTCTCCTTTGGGCTTGATGGTGATTGGAAAAGCAAGGGAGACCCTGGCAGGGAGAGGGTTGGAGCGGGATGGTTCGGCTCCATCCCATGCCCCAGCACGGGGCTCAGCATGGAAGTGAGCCCACATGTGAAAGGCAGCTGGAAACCCTGGGAAACGCTGGAGTTTGGGAGTGCTGGGAGCCGGCCGGGCCCTACCCTGCTCTCTCCATGCAGAAATAATTGGAGGGAGAGTTTCTCTTGGACCAGGTTTTCCCTCCCATGCCCTCTGTTGGGAAGCAGGATGAGCCTGGATGCTCCGGGGAGCTGGGGCAGGAGCAGTGCTGGTTTGGGTGCAAGGGAGGCAAACGCAGAGTGTGCCCGTTCCCCTGTGAGGACATGGTTGAACAGATCCATACCCAGCTGCGAGCAGCATCTTATTCCTTTGCTGCGTGTTCCAGGCTCTGTTCCACTTGCAGGAGCCTGGGTCTCCATCCCGGCAGCTCTGCCCTTCCCGGGATGCTCCTGAGAGCCAATCCATAGATCCTGGCCTCATTAGAAACATCACAGAGAGAGGGAAAAGCAAATCTGGGCTCCTGACTGCGCCGGCTTTGAAGCTGCCTTCCCCCCTGTCAAGCCTGCGTGCCGCAAGCGAGCAGCGCAGGAGGAGCCCTGCTTGTCTGGGGATTAACGTCCCCACTTGGCTAATTGCTGGTTAATCACAGCAGCACCTCGCCTGCTCCCCGTGGGACGCAGCTCCCAGCGCCCCGATGCCTCCCATGGGGTCCCCGGGGTGCGCGGGTCCCGGCTGGAGCGTGCTCCCGGGCAGGCAGCAGCGGCCCAGCCCCGCTCTGCTGCTGGGTCCCATCCGTCATCTGTTTGTGCTGGTGCCCTGCCAGGGATTGTGCCGATTCCCACACCCACTTTCCATAACCCTCCGTCCTCGCCCGGGCGCATCGCTGGCGCTCTCGCCACCCAGCCCTTTCCCCTCCTCTCCGATGGGATCAGACACGTTCTGCAGAGGGGGAAGAAAGGGAAGGAGGGGAAAGGGAAAGAGAAAAAGGAGGATCAAGAGGCGAACAGAATGTGACTCATTGCTTTCTTCATTTACTTGTATTTATTTACTCCCTCCCCTCCGCGCTGCGACGTGCTGGCCGCAGAGAGCTGCGGTGTCCAGCTTGGCAAAGAGGTGTTGGGAATGGGCTGGGAATCTTTTCCTTCACTCTTTTAGCCAGGGGGAAGAGCGCAGAGCGGAGCTCCTGGCACAGAAGCTGTGGCACAGACTTTTAAGGTTGTCCAGGTCTCCGCGTGAGCATCCCGCCCGCATCCCGCGCCCCACCAGCACAGCATGGACCGGAGGGTGGAAATATCTAATTCCACCTCCTACACTGTGTCCTCGGCAGGGGAAAGAGAAAGAGAAGATAAAAGGCTGGGAAGCCCAAATGGTGTCATTAGGAACTATTAATGCTCTCATAAAAGGGCATTAATAAACACGGCAGCTCATCAGCGGCCATTAGCTCCGCTCCTGGCAGGCATCTTCGCTATGAGATGCTCCCCTCGCCCTCGCTGGCGTTTCAGCACAGGGGCAAGGGGCTGGAGCGGGGGGTTTATTCCTCCCTGCTGGCAGGAACCAGCCGCAGATCCCCCTCATACTGGGGTGGCAACCCGAAGGAGCAAGCGGGGCTCCAGGCCCGTCCTGCAGCCGGCAGCTGGTGCCCACTGCGTGCATCGCTCTCCTCCGCAGGAGCTGTTTACTACTAAACAAAACGAGGCAGGGTTTAAAGCGCTCATCCCCAACTTTCTCCCTCCCGCCCGCCCTCTTCCTGTTCTCGTCTCTTAAAAGGAGCTTTATCCTTTGCCTCTCCCATGCCCGCGGCAAGCCAGAACCCACCGCATCTCGGGGCGAGCAGGCAGCCCACATCAGCAGGCAGGAGAACAGGGAGGAGGCCCGGCCTCTCCCGATAAGCCCATGGCAAAGCCAGGAATAGCAGCGAGGTCCCCGCTCGGGAGCAGGGAGCAGCCTCAGTCCCTGCCTTTGAAGAGCAGGGGGCTGGCAGCCGGCCCGGCCGCACGGGGAGCTTGGGGCGTGCTGCGAGCTTCCCCTGGCAGCCCCGAGCAGCACAGCTGGGTAGAGCAGAGCGCAGCACAGCTGGGTACAGCAGATGTGCACATCTGCATGGAGGAGGGATGCGCAGCGGCTGGGCAGAGCGGGCTGGCACGGGCGGAGGGGCTGGTGGATGCATCTGAATGGAGCGGGCACGCACATCTGGGCAGGCTGTGCTCGCACATCTGGGCAAACCAAGCAGGGAGAGAGCAGCCCCATGGCCCCATGGCACCCCGGGGTGCTTCTCCTTTGGCTTTTCCTCCTCCTGTGAACCAAAGCACCCAAACCTGCCAAGTCACTGCCCTAGCTCTTAGTCACCGTCTCCCTCCCATTAGGATATTCTTGGCTCTGGCTGCCAAAGTGGCGAGCCAGCCACGGGGAGCCGATATCCAAGGACCACGAGTGGGCACTTGGCTTCCCGCTGGCCTCAGGCCGCTCGAGGGAGGCTGTCACCATTGGTGACTCCGTGCAGGGCAGGTTTCCTGTTGGGGAAAGCAGAGCTTTGATCCCGAGGATCCCAAACCAAGCTCCCCGCGTGCCCTCTTGCTTCCAGTTATCTGCTGCATCTCCCTTTTCTTTTTCGGGGTAAGAAGTCCCAGGGCAGGTTGGGACGGAGGAGCCCTGGCAGGGCGCGTGTGTGGGCAGGACTGGAATAACGGGTGCCGTAGGAGAGGATTTAGGAGTGCTGGGAATAGCACAGCAGGTCAGGGGTGAGGTGGCTTGGGCAGGGATGGGATGTGGCCAGAGGTCTTGCCATTGCCTCCTTGCCATTAATGGCGTTCCAGTGGGATGCTCGGTGGTGTCGGCAAAGCCACCCTCCTGCAGGGAAGCATCCCCATCCCCGGGCAGCGTGCTGGGTGATGGGGAGCCAGGCAGGAGTTTTGGTTGAGAGCAAAAGCACCGCGATGGAGCAAAGCTTTGCCATGGGGATGCTGGTGCAAATCACCACCACCCTCCGCTGGCATCCCCTTCCCACCCGGCATCATTCACCCTTCCCACCAGGATGAGCCGTGCCAGGACACCATGCAGGGAGCCTCTCCATCCCAAATGGCCACAGAGAGCCCCCCGTGTGCTCCTTCCCAGGAGAGGATCGGTCCCCAATGACCCCTGCAAGGAAAACAGCCAAGATGTTGGAAGCCAAATCCCTGGGGAGCAGCCGGGGGGTGGCAGGGGGGGTCCATCCCTCCGTGTCCTTCTCCTGGGGGCCCTGTAGCATCTCCCCCCTTTCTCCTTGTCCTTTCAGGGTGCGAATCTGAGGACTGGGGACGTCAAAGGGCACGTGCTGACGGGTGAGTGCAGGCCCCAACCGGGGGACAGGCTCTGCTGCTGGGAGCTGGGATGGGGCAGTGGCAGAGCTGGCTGGGATGGGACAGGAGGGGGGACACGAGGGGCTCCCATGGGGCGCAGCCGGGCACTGTCTGGAATAGGAGCTGCTTTTTCTCTTCTCTTCCCCGAGGCAGAAGTGGTTTAGGAGCTCCCCAGTGCCTGGAAGGGCTCCAAAGCAGTGCAGAGAGCAGGGGGGGTACAAACAAAAAGAGAAACACGAGATAAAAGGGGGTGAATCCCAACAACTTCTGTGATGTTGCACGAACAAAGGCTTTGAGCTCAGAACAAGGCAGACACGGCTCATGGAGTTCACATCCCGAGGGAATGAGGCTGGGAGTGACCGATGCTGGAGGGGCTTCAGCTGCTTGTCCCTTGGCACCGGGTGCTCCCATCCTCAATGCAAGGGGATGCACTGAGGGGGGATGTTAATGGGGGATCTTTTAAGGTCAAACCCCATCCCTGGCAGTGCTCAAGGCCAGGTTGGACACAGGGGCTTGGAGCAAGCTGCTCCAGTGGAAGGGGTCCCTGCTCATGGCAGGGGTTGGAGCTGGAGGAGCTTCAAGGTCCCTTCAACCCAGACCAGATTGGGATTCAGTGATGCTGTGACCTGGGAGCTGAGTGCTGCTGCTCCAGCTTCATCTGGCTGAGAGCTGGGGACGTGCCCGCCTGCACGCGAGGTCTGCAGCGAGGGGAGGCATCAACCCCAAGCTGCCAGCACCTGAGAACCGCTGCGCCCACCACAGGAGCAGCAAGGGAGGACTTCAAACAGGGGCAGCTGGAGCTGGGCCAGGCCCCCAGCTCCCGTGGGGCAGCAGCAGGGTGAGGGGTGCTGGGGGTCTCGAGCTTGTCCCCCAGCAGATCCCTGCAACCCAGGGGGGGATGCGCCCAGCGCGGTGAGGATGAGGAGGGGTATGGGAGGGATGGGAAGGGGGATGGAGGAGAGGTCAAGGTGCTCAGCACGGAGGTAAGGAGCACCCTGGGGCTCTCAGGTTGAAAGAGGAGGAGAGGCGGTGAGGAGAGGTGGGTTAGTTCAGGAAAGGGCAAACAGGAGCTGGCCCTGGGCAGAGGGGGGATCCAGGCAGTGACAAGGGAAGGGGGTTTGGGGTGCTCTTGCCCATCAAACACCCAAGCTGCCCAGTGTTTCCTCCCTCCTGGTGCTGGGAGGGAGAGCTGATCCCAGCCTGCAGGGCCGGGGTGCACCCGTGGTTGCGGTGTGGGGAGGGATGCTCAGCCGTTATCTTTTGCACCCCCAGATTACGTCCGTCCCACGCCGCCGGCCCGCAGCGGGTACCACCGCTACCAGCTCCTCCTGCACGAGCAGCCAGCGCACGAGGCCATCACCCTGAGCCCCGAGGAGCGCCGCTCACTGGGTAAGGAGCAGCCGTGCCCTCGCCCTGGTCCCACACTATGTCCCAAAGGGGCTTTTCGGGGGGAACGGGCAATGCCGAGTGTTAGAGCAGTCCCAAAGCGCGATGCCGGGGATGCTCGTTTGGTGCAAAGGGGTTTCAAATCCTTACACAGGATGTGTTTGGGGTGTTGAGTCCTTGGCATAAAGGGCTGGTAACGGCCTGGCTAGCGGGATCGGGAGCAAGGAGAGATCTCGTGGGCAGTGAATTCCATCCTGTCCTTGCTGGAGCCTCTTCCCCCCTGCGCCATGGGAGTTTCATCACCTCGGAGGGCGCAGATAAGGATCAGACGTGGAGATGGTTTAGCAAGGGATTGCTCAAACCCGGCTGACACAAGGAGCACCAACTCCCAGCTCCCTCCACCCCGGCACAGGGCTGCTGCCTCCCTCAGTGTGCAGGGCAAGGATGGAGGCAAGAAGCTGAGTCCACCCGGGACATGATGGGACCATCCCGGATGGTCGCAGCCTGCAGGACCCTCAGCATGGACAAGCCCATGCAAAGGGGTATTCCTGGTGCATTCCCAGGCAGGTCGGTGCATCCCGTCCGTGCCAGCCTGACTCACCCCTGCATGCTGGTAACCAGCCCTGCACAACAAGGGACAACATCCCCGGACCCCCATGCCAGGAACACCCCAGATCGCAGCCAGCACAGGGCTGTGATGCTCGTCCTGTGGCCAGGCCGGGCTGCGGCTGCTGCTGCGAGTCTCTCTGTGGGTTATCTCTGCTCTTCAGTTGCTTTCTGGCTCATTAGCTCTGCTTCTTAATGGCATGCATGGAAGCCACCCCCCTGCCAGGGGAGCGGGGCATGTCCCTGTCCCCTTGTCCCTGGAGAGGTCAGAGGAGGGGGCTCCACTGCTGTCACCCGCATCCCCATCACAGCACCCCAGGGCTGGGGTTGCAGCATGGGACACCCACCATAAACCCTCACATTAACAGGATGTGCAGCTCCAGCTCCCCACATCTCATACCCAAAGGGGCTCAGCCACCAGATCCGTGTGGAAGATCTTTGTCCCTGCCCTGTGCCCCACGTTGTCTCCATCCTATCCTGAAGGTTCTCAGCCTTTCCCAGCTCCCTGGGAGAGACCGGTTAAAACAGCAGCGGATGTTTCCTCCTGAGCATCATCGTTTCAGTGAAGCTGTTATTGAAGTAGTTGGTTGAAGGCTGTTTTTAACCATTTCACTGCTGCACCACAGGCTTGGCCTGTCCAGTGAATGTCCCCTTTAACTCCCAGGGCATGAGCCCTGAAAGCAGCCACAGGATGGGATTTTGGTGTCTGAAGGGTTTAAATGAATCCATCCTCAAGGACCACATTGGAACAAGCACCATGGAGCCACTGGCACATCCAGCGCCGTGGGGCGAAGGAGAAAGGAGGAAATGCCTTTGATAGCACATGAAAACAAGGGGGATGCTGACTGTGACCCCATCAGGCCACGGGTGAGGAGCTCATCCAGCTCCCCCACAGCTCTGCCCCGGTGCTGTCCTGCGGTACAAGAGATGCATCCCGCATCCCTGTGCTGCGCATTGCCAGCTCGGTGCCATGCACCCATCCCTCCGGCAGCCTCCCCACTGCCTCCCGCATCCCTGTGCTGCGCATTGCCAGCTCCGTGCCATGCACCCATCCCTCCGGCAGCCTCCCCACTGCCTCCCGCATCCCTGTGCTGCCACCACCCCACACCCACCCCCCACTCCCCACTGCCTCCCGCATCCCTGTGCTGTGCATTGCCAGCTCGGTGCCATGCACCCATCCCTCCGGCAGCTTCCCCACTGCCTCCCGCATCCCTGTGCTGTGCATTGCCAGCTCCGTGCCATGCACCCATCCCTCCGGCAGCTTCCCCACTGCCTCCCGCATCCCTGTGCTGCGCATTGCCAGCTCGGTGCCATGCATCCATCTGCTTGGGGACACCTCGGAGCCCCATGAGGGTGCTTGTGCCACCGCTCAGCTCAGCTCGGATCGGTGCTGGGACCCGCGGGGCCGGAGCAGGCGGCAGGGCAGGAGCTCCGCGGTGGAGCCAAGAGGCCGGAGCCTCCAGAAGAGGGCACTAAACCCGGAGCTGCCCGTGCGAGCCCTCTCCTGCTCTCGGGAAGGCCCCTGGGGAGATGCCCGGCGTGGAAACGAATCCGTGCTTGTGCTTGTGCTTCGCAGCGCCCGCAGCTCGCCAGGAGGGAGGATGGCTCCGTGCTGGCCCCGGTGCCCGCCCTGCCGTGGGGATGTGGCACCATCGGGTACTGTGCCCAGGGGTCAGGGGGCAAACGGGTGCTCGCAGCAGAGGTTTCTCTTGGGCAAAGGGATTTGTTTCATCCGGAAGCATCCGAGCGCCTGCTCCTTCTCCTGATCAACCCCGGCACCTGCGGCCTCAGGCAAAGAACCCTCGGTTCTCCACCGCCTCCTGACTCACCCCATGCTCCGGCTGTGTCACTGCGCACCCGCTCCGTGCCCCTCGGCACCCACAGTGAAGACCCGTGGGGTGTCCCCTGCCGGCGATGCAGAGCGAGGGTTACCGGGGTGCAGGATGAGGGCTCGCGGTCCGCAGGGTGTCAGAGGCACCCGCGCATCCCCAGGCACCGCGCAGGGAAACCCCGGCCATGGCGGTGCTGGACCCATGGGAGGATGCTCCTTGGCCACCTCCTGCCTTTCCCTTGTGGGAACTGTAATTAGCACGAGCTCAGGAGGGTTAATAGCATGCGATGAGCGGTTCCGCTCCTCCCTCCCTGCTGTGTCCCAGTGCTGGATGCCCACCAGCCCTGGGAACACATGGAGATGCTCCCCAGCATCCCCAACCCTCCTCCTGGCCCGGAAAGGTGTTTTACAGCTGGGAATGGCCTTTTGCCTCCCGGAGATGTTGGGAAGCAGAGAGTCCTTTGGGAAGCAGAGAGTCCTTTGGGAAGCAGAGAGTCCTTTGGGCACCAGGCGCTGAGGATGAGCCCGGCCCGCGGCCCTTCCCACGGCTCCATCCCTCTCCATCACTTCGGGGCTGCAGCATTGACTCATGAGCAGACCTCGTGCGCCTCCGATCCACCCAGCTGGAAAATCGGGTTGGACTGGGCCCCATGGGGAGGGAAAGGCTGCGGCTGGGATGGGAGGAAGCGAAGGGCTGCAGGGAGCACCCGCTCCCAGCCCCAGTCCCCCCAGTGTCAGTTAATGGTGAGCAAGCAGCAGTGGCCTCCCGCCTACCTCCACTGGGACATCATTAATCTCTGCAGGAAAGCATCAGGGCTCCTCTCAGCCCCGCTGATGAGGCTGATAAATTACGGCTGGCAACACTGTGGGTGCCTGGGGAGGGGGGGGAAACAGCCCCATGCACCCATTGCCTGTGATACCAGAGGGTCCCTGAGCTCCCCAAGCCCCGCAGCAACCTCGTGCCTCAGTTTCCCCCTGTGATGCTCAAGGATCAGGGTGTCAGTGGGTGCTCCGCTTCCTCCAACGGGTGCTCACATAAGAGCCAAGCACGATGCTAAAATCAACCGAGAAATGAGCTCGAAAATGGGCCAAGCCATGGATGCAGCATCGTTTTGATGGGAATGGTGACACCGAGAGCCCCATGGTCCCGGTGACTCGGTCCCCAGTGCTGTGGCTGGCTGGCAGAGGGATGTCACCCTGTGCCAGGGATGCAGGATGCAGACGGGATGCGACACCCGGTTTGAGGATGCACCCAAGGTGCTGGATTTGGGTGCATCACCCGGGGCTTCCCCTGGGGCCAGTCCCTGCACCCCCGGAGCACTGGAGGTAGCAAAGTAGGTCAGGAAAAACCCCGGCCCCGCACGCAGCCCTGCGGCAGCTCTGCCTCCCCTTTCATCCACAGCCCCCCCGAGGCCTCACCACCACCAGGGACACCCCGGGGAGCCGGGGGGAGCCGCCTCTCGCTCTCACCCCGGTCCCACCGGCACCGCTGCTCCCTCTGCGGCTTTCCCAGTGCTTTGAAACCCAGCGCATGAAAGGCTGGGGGTGCACTGGGAGCATCCCCCCCCCCCCCCCGGGACCCCTTCCCCTGGCGCTGCGCTCATCAGCATCCCCAGAGGTGGAGGGGATGGGGGATGGATGGAGACCCTGGAGCGAGCGGCTCCCCCCTTGCCAGGGCTGTTGTGGTGGGAGGGATGTGTTTGGGGCTCACACTGGGACACGGTGGCCATCACCGTGTCCATGGCCTGGCTTGGCCTTGGTGCTGCAGACCCAAAGCCCCCTCGGGGTCCTGTGTGGGGGCATCTCCCCCGCCTTGGGCTTGGGATGCAGCAATGAGCCAAAGCTGATGGGAACGCGGCTCCATGCCCCAGCTGGTGACCCCAGTGTGGCACATTGGGACTGTCCTTGCCCTCAGCTTGGTTTGGGTCCTCAATGGGCAACAGTGATGATGTGGGGACACCCAGATGTGGGTGTCAGTGATGGTGCGGGGACATCCAGACACACACAAACCCCAGCCACACGCAACTGATGCATCCCAGCATCTCCTCCCAGCGGGATGCAGGGTCCAGCCTGAGCATCCTGGGATCTCCTTCCCAAGCACTGGAGCATCTCCTGGGCCACATCCTCTTCCAGCTGAGGAGGTTGCACAGCGCAGGGCCAGCACCAGGAGCATCTGCAGAGCCCATCAGGGGCTTTTTGGCTGTGAGGAGCCCCAGTGCTGGAGGCGGGGGGGACACGGGGGGAGCTGGGCTCTGCTGGCACCCAAACCCCCACCGCCCCGTGCGGGTGAGGCAGCAGCTCGGGCTTTGCTCAGCACTTTGCAAGAGCAAAGGGGATGCTTTGCTCCAGCTGGGGCCGAGATTTGGGCGCAGATAAGGGCTGCCTGTCTGCAGCGTGACATTAAAGAGGTGCCAGGAAGAGGAGAGGAGGGAGGAGGGTTTCACACAAACACCGGGCCCCTTGCCCCTGCCCTGCGCCACCGCAGCGGCTCCCATGCAGGCTCCCACCACCACAAGGGGCAGCGGGAGCTGCTTGGGTCCCCGGGGAAAGCCCCTCTGGGCCGGGAGGAGGATGCTCCATTGGCCCCACGCTCGCTCTGAGCCCTGGTAGGGCACAGGGGGATTGCACAAGGGAATCCCTGCTGCCCGCAGCCCCAGAGAGGGATCCCTGCCTCCAGCATCCTCGGGTCAGGGCAGGCAGCAGAGGAAAGGGGTCAGGAAGGGGGCCTCTTGGCTCGGTGCGTGCAAGTGAAGGGGCTGGGGAGCTCCTGCCGTCTCCCCCATGTGTTTCCAAGCATCCTAAAGTGGGCTTGTGGGAAGCCATGGGAAGGGCTGCTCCAAGCGGGGACACAAGAGGAGCCAACACTGTTTACCCCCAGGGATGCCCATGGCCCCTGCCCTCCTTCCCCTCTTGCCCCTGAGTGCATCCAGCCCCACAGCATCCCTGCTCTGGCTCACTCCTGCCCCTCTCTCCTCAGGTTCCTGGGCGATGGAGAGCTTCGTGAAGCAGTTCCGGCTGGGCTCCCCGGTGGCCTCCACACAGTTCCTCACCAAACACCACCAGGATTAGCTCTGCCCATTGTGCCCTTCCCCTGTGCAGCTGCATCCCCTTCCCTGCATCCCAGAGCCACATCTGGGACCCACCGAGGATGCGCCCGCCCTTCTCCCAGCCCAGGTTGAGAGCAGAAACCCAGCCCCTCCGCTTCCCAAACCCAGCAGAGCCCCTCATCCCATCCGAAGGTACCATCCCGTCGGTGCCCTGGCTCCCTGGGTGTCCCGGGAAGGCTGCATCCTCTTCTCCTCCCTTGCCTCATTTCTGGCCTGCCCCCAGCATGTCCCTCCTGCACCTTGGGCATCTTACACCTTAACGCCTGCAGCTTCCAGAATAAACCATGAGTGGATGGAGTGCACGGGGCTGTGTGGGCACCCTTGGGGGGTGATGCTGGGCCAGGCTGGGAGAGCGGGACTGGGGCAGCTGGAGAAGGGAAGGCTCCTGAAGGGGAGACCTTAGAGCAGCTCCAGTGCCTGCAGGGAGCCTGGTGAGGGGCTCGGGACAAGGGATGCAGGGGCAGGACAGGGGCAATGGCTTTACCCTGCAGGCGATGCAGGGCAGGGTCCGGTGGGATGCTGGGGCTGCGGTGGGAACCGGGGCTGGCTCCAGCCCTGCCCTGCCCTGCCCGTGCCCTCTCCGGCTGCTGAACCCGCTCCTCTTGGAAAGCAGAACCGGAACTGGAGCCGGAAAGGAGAAGGGCTCTGCCCAGTGGCCACTTGGCTGGGGCTCCCCTTTAATTACCTCCTTAACGAGGCTTTCATCTAGCGCTGGGGTTTCTCCGGGCTCGGGTTCTCCTGCCTGCGGATCCCCAGCACAGCGTGGCCTCGGCGGCCGCGCTCCCACGGAGCTGCTCTTGTCCTGGGCCAGGAGCAATGGGAACCAACCCCAGGGAGCAAGATCCGCGATGGGGGTTACTGCGCGGGCAGGGGAAACTGAGGCACGAGGGAACGGCTTGCTCATGGCCATGCAGCATCGCTTAGAGGGGATGGCGATGCTCCCGCTGCTGCACTGGTCCATGGGTCCATCCCAGCGCAGGAGAGGAAGCAGGTTTGTGCTGTGCCCTTCTCGCTCCCTCCCTGGGTCCTGGGCAGTGAGAGTGGCTTCACCTCCTTGCTGAGAGGAGGTTAAACGTGTCCGGGACTTTCCCTGCAGCAGGAAACGGCTGTTTACTGAATCACATCAGCGGCTCCTGCAGAGCTCCGCTGGCCTCACAGGGGAAGGCTCAGGGCCACGGGGATGGGCTGCAAGGTGTGAAGGAGGATGCAGGAGCCGGGTCCAGGGCGCTGCAGGAGCCCAGCAGAAAAAGGAAGCTGCTGCCATCCCACAGCCCGGGGAAACAACACAGCCCCGGCTTGCCATGGCGCTAAGATTAGCAGCAGAGGAAATGACACCCAGAGATGTCATGGAAGATGCTAAAGCTGGATTGCTCCTTCTCCTTTGCTATACTTAACCCTCCATTGAGGGTGTAATTGGGCCGTTAGGGTAATGCGAGGGACCGGTGCAAATGAGAGGTCAGGCTTTGTTGACATCCTGCAGTCCAACTATAGTCATCCTCCCCTCCCTGCCCTCAGCCCTGCGGCTGCTCTGGTTATTTTGGGTGGAAGGGGAGAGAAAAGGCCCTCGGATGTTTATCCTTCTAGGAAATTAGCACCATCATTCCCGGGCTGCATCTGAGCTGCAGGGGAAAGAGACTGGGAGCTCACTGTGAGCCCAAAGTGAGCCTCTTCCCTGTGTGGCGCTGATGGGAATGGGGATGGAGACAGGGATGGGCATGGAGAATAGGGATTGGGATGGAGATGGAGATGGGAATGGGGATGGAGACAGGGATGGGCATGGAGAATAGGGATTGGGATGGAGATGGAGATGGGGATGGGGATGGGGATGGGACAGGGATGGGATGGAGAAAAAGATGGGGATGGGGATGAGAAGGGATGGATGAGATAGGGATTGGATGGGATGGAGATGGGATGGGGATGGAGAGGATGTGGGAAGGAGGATGGGATGGATATGGAGAATAGGGATTGGGATGGAGATGGAGATGGGGATGGGGATGGAGATGGAGATGTGGATGAGGATGGGGATGGGGATGAGTTGGGAATGGGGATGAGAATGAAGACAAGGATGGGGATGGAAGTGGCAAACAAGGGTGGGGATGAGGTTGAAGATGAGCATTGGGATAAGGATGAAGATGGGGACAGTGGTGGGAAAGGGGATGAGGGTGGAGCTGGAGATGGGGGCAGGAACAGGGCTGAAGATGGAGCTGGGGATGGGCATGGTCCGAAGCAGGAATCTGCCCAGTGCTTGCTGCAGATGATGTGTTGGGACAACTCCAGTGATCCCCTGCGGGGATGCAGGACGAGGCACAAGGCCCAGGCACACTCAGGGCTGCATCCACAGAGCGTAGCAGCAGCAGCAGCCAGCCCGGAGCTCCGCACTCCCACTTGGACGCGCACGAGGCTTCCACAGCATGGAAAATATTAACTGTGGGCTTTTAGTTCACTTTTTGCTAATTTAGAACGAGCGAAGAAAGCAAAAGCGGGAGGAAGCCACGTACGCCTTGTGCCGGTCCCACCCCCTTTATCTCTCCTTCCATTCGCTCACCATGGGTGCGAGAGAGAAAAGAGAAGCTGAGTCTCTCGCTGCCTAAATGTAGAAAGTTTTGCTTCTAAATCAGTTTGCGATGGAAAGGAAACACGTCACGTCCCTGGGGAAGTGGCTGGTTTGCAGCAGCCACAAGCCCAGCGCCGAGTGCTGCAATGGAACAGCCAGCACTGAAATAGCTCCACGCTCTGTTATTGTCACCCAGAGGAGGTTTTTGCTCTGTCTCCGGGTGTCATTTTTAGCAACCAGAGGAAGTTTTAGTTGTATTTGTTAGCTCCAGTTTCCACTGGCGGGGCTGGGTCACCCTTTCATCCGAAGGTCCAGGAAGGGGCAAGGAGAAACCAGAGCAGGGTGAGCTCAGGTGTGATGGGCGCAACGTGGTACCCACAGCACCCCAGTACCCACAGCATCACTGCCACGCACAAACCAACCTTGTGGATCCTGGGGGAACTGAGATGCCACAGGCCCGGGATGGGGTTTGGATGCTTCCAGCCCATTCCCAGAGCAAAGCCACCCGCTGGATGGGATGGCTGAGGAGGAGGAAGGCTTGGGGTTTAAAACACTAACAGTGAGAATCCGATGTTCCTGGTGAGCGCGGCAGCTCCCAGCAGCGCATGGGGGGTGTTGCTTTCCCAAACTGGGCTGGAGGCCAAGAGAAGCCTGCACTAAACACGATCACTGAATAAAAGGGGTAATAATTATCTATTTTTAATAATTATTGAAGTAATTACTCGAATGAGATTAAGCCTCAGCCCCTGGCTCAAGGAGAGGCAGCCCCAGATCCCATCCATTGATGGAGAGCAGGAGGTGTCTCCCCTCCAGTGGGACCACCATGGGCAAACACAGAGTTGGGAGCAGGGGACATGAAGGAACAGGGACTGGGGGCCACCACTTGCACCCCACTGGCCATGGTGGCACGTGGGGATGATGTGGGGACAACCCAGCTCACCGGGAGCCAAGTGATGCCAAGCAGCAGCTCCCCCTCAGCCAGGGACTTGCTCAAGAAGGGATTAGCAGGATCAGCTGATGATGATCTAAGCGCATAACTATATCAACCTGTGCATTAATTAATGATATCTCACACTCCATAATGGCTCTATCTGCAGATCTGTGTGCTCCTCAAGCAGGCACTGAATTAAGCCTTGCTGCACCCCCCGGGAAATAGGTCAGGATTAATCCCCATGTGCCGGTGGGGATGCGGCAGCTCCACGCTGGGATAAACAACGCTGCCCATTTTGGGTGCCAAGGAAGGAGGTTTTCCAGGTGAGCTGAGGAGCATCCCCATCCCCACAGCACTGGGAAGGGGCCAGGCTCTCGGGATCGGGCACGATCCAGGTGATGGACACCATTGGTGGGATGCTCCAGTGCTCCCAGCCCTCAACCTTGCGCCATGAGCACACGAAGCCTCCAGCCCAGGGGTCCCCCATGTGCTATGGGGCCAGGGTTGGTGGTGGGGGCCCATGGGTGCTGGTGCAGTGACCCAGCAGCCGGGCGGGCCCTGGGAGAGGCAGCCAGGGCTGGGGCAGGAATTTAGGGCTCCTGAAGTAATAGGGAGGGCGGGCAAGGCGAGGACAGGGCCATGTCCCCACCTCTGAGCGTTGTGCCAGCACCCAAGGGGCCCGGGGAGCAGCAAGGGGCAGGTTGGGCTCAGCACCATGGCTTCATTAAGCAGCAATAGCAATTAATACTTATGAGGCCTCCGAGGTGCTGCACAACTCCGAGGAGCTTTGTGAGGAGCCCAGCCCCACTCCCTGCCCCATCAGTGTTGCTGGTTCGGGGGTCCCGGTCCCTCATCCTGCTCCTGGGACCGGCTCTTCCTGCAGCACCCGGGATGCAAATCCCGGATCCTGGGAACACGGCGCTCAAGGGATGCTCCACGGGGAGAAACTGCCCGGGTTTGGTTTCCCCTCTCAGGCTGGGTTCGTCCTGGCCTCGCCCGCTCTGCCGGGAGCAGGAGCACGCTCAGATGTGGTTTGCCTGTGGAACACAGAGGAGGGTTTGGTGCTGCGGCCCTGAGCCACCGGCTTTGCTCCTGCCCCGCTCCGTGCCGCGGTGCCCGGTTTAGCCCGGTTTATCCCGGTTTATCCCCATCTCTCCCCATGGGAGGCGGGTGGCTCTTGGGGTTTGCATGCAGAGCTGCGGTAAAAGGGGCTCTTCCAGCCTCCGCTGCCTGCACCGCGGGCTGAGGACGGTCTCAGCCACAGCCCCCAGCTTGTCCTCACTTGTCAGCGCTTCCCATCCCCTCCCCGCATCCCCGCAGGTCCTGCGCTAACCTCCCATTTCCTCATTGCAAGGAAATGGCGAATTCCCCCCGGGCTGGTTTCAATGGCTCTGCAGATCCCTCTCCCTTGGCCTCTCACCAGTTTCTCCTTCGGTGGTTACAGCGAAGCCCTGCAGCCCTCGGGAGCAGCGCTTTCCTTTCCCAGGCTGCGCGGCCGTCGGGAACACATCCCTCCATGGATGCCCCTTCTCCAGCACCACCATTGGACGCAATGGGTTTGGTTGTGCCATGGGGCAGCCGCTCACGTCGCCGGTGGTGTCATGGCACAGTTCTCAGCATCCATTTCCTCTTCTGTTTCTTGGTTTCAGGTTAAAAAAAGCCTTCGCGGTATCTCCCTGCAATCCCCTGGCTGGGGTCACAGCGATGCCCGGGCACCGCAGGCTGACACAGGGACACAGCACTGAGGTTTGTGCTCGTCCCACAGCATCAGCTCCCTGCCTGGTCTCTGCTATTGGGAACCCCGTCATTCCCAGTGG